GGTTAAAATGGGATTCAGAGCGGTACACGAAAATTCCTCGAACGGCAGTGGCACTCCCGGCGGAATTCACAATGGCTGACCAGTTTGTACGTCCCCCCAAAGGGTAAATTTGAAGCAGATTCGCTCACAAACATACGAATACATCACTTTATATTATTCCCCTTCCCCAATGTGGATCCGCTACGTTGAGCTGTTACTCCCGCTTAGTTCGCCATGAAGCATGAGAGCACTTCAAATTGGAAGTTATGACGCCCCCAATCCGTAGCCATTTTGTGAATGTTCTACTAGGTATACGTGACAGAGTGGAAATGCTGCTTAATTAGGCAGAAAAATTATGCTTTCTCCCGACCATAACAAATTTCCCCATGGATGAAGATGGACCAAAGGTATGACTCACTGATATCACCACGTTTGTAATTGTACTATAACCGAGATGCCCTTTTTTTAAAAAACGCACTGGAGTAACAACTTTTTAGCGATGCGAAATGACTCATATTTAATTTCTAGAGTTTTAACTCGAACCCTTCGAGAAGGAAAAAGTAACCATTAGGGTTACTCATCCTCGCTCCTTTAAATTATGTGATGCGTCACGGGTACACATACACATTATATACCCAGTATGTGCTGTATACATTTTTTACGTCCTCATTTAGTTGTACATTGATCGGTCAGTCGCGAGGCTTCCTTTCCGACGCCACCTCATAAGTATACCATAAAGCTCTCCACCCCTTTCCTCAGATCCGACAGCTACGTTTAGCTTAAATGAAGCGATGCAACGCATGTTCCACGTACTCGAAAAAAGGAGCATTTTGCAAAGAAAGTTACACACTTGAAATTTCCAGTTGCCAGCAAGGGGGCTAAAGGAGAAAAAAAAAAAAAAAAGGATTTTTTCTGTTTTTAAAATGGTTTCTCCTTAATAGTCATGACAATGTTGTGAATATGGCCACATGTTTATAAAAACGAATGGATAGTTAAGTACACACAAAAAACACCACTTACGCTATTTTGCTTTTCTGTTGTTTCGTTTTTTCTGTTTCTACGCATATTTCACGATCGTTAAAGCAGCCTTTCTGCTTTTTTTTAAATGACGAATTAAAAATGTTGCCGCGAAGGGGTATGTGAATAATGCCAGTATCACCTTTTTTTTTTCCTTTTTTTTTTTTTTGCCACTTAATCATTAACAAATGGTTGTGCCTCAAATAATGGCAAAAAGATTTGAAGCGAACAATAAAAGAAAAATGACCACATTTGCTCACGCGACGTGTTTAAAATCGTTGTTTACACGAAATGATAGGTGAACCAGTTTTCTTATCGGCGCAAGCTCGTGAACAAAATTAAGCAAGCAGATGGGTGGAAACGGTCAAACGTGTAAAAACCGTCA